GAGAATTCACTTCCTTGCAAAATGCTCTGTATAAGCTGTGCCATGGAAGTACAGAGCATCTTTTCTCAGTTACATTTATTATATGATACCCTGTGCTCAGATACTCTGATACTTCATGTATTGTCTCATTCTACACCCTTCTCTTCGGGCTATCTCATTCATTCCTATGACTTGAACTGCTACCTTTAGAGTCTCATCTAGCTGTCTCCCATGAGCCCAGAATCTCTACCTGCGTGTCTCATATGTGCAAAGTTAACATCTCTAACGTCGACCTCACTGTCTTCCATCTCAAATCTAGTCTTCCTTACCAGTATCCAGCCAGTTATCCAAGCAAGAAAAAGGAGTTACCCTATTCTCCTCTGTTTCATTTTGTACATCCAATTTATTATCCTGTCCTATAATGCCTAAAACAGCCCTTTACTGTTTATAATTATGTCTTTTCCTTCTTATTTTTACTGCCATTGCTTTGTTTTGTTTTAGAGACAGCGTCTAGCTCTCTTGCTAAGGCTGGAGCACAGTAGTGTAATCATAGTCACTGTAGCCTTGAACTTTTGGGCTCAAGCAATCCTCCCACCTCAGCCTCCCAAGTAGCTGAGGCTACAGGTGCCACCACTTCCAACTAATTTTTGTAGAGATGGGGTCTCACTCTGTTGCCCAGGCTGGTTTCCAACTCCTGGCCTCAAGTGATCCTCCCACCTCGGCTTTGCCATTGCTTTTGCAATGGCATTAGTCTGTTATTTGTTCAGCCTTTTTGCATATTACTGTTAGTTATATTTCTCAGCAACAACAAAAAGCAGTGATATACCCCACAAAAAACCTGCACAAACCAAAACAATACAAACAAATCCAACATGATCATGTCACTCCTGTACACATTATTTTCCAATATTATCTGCTGCCTGTCAGATAAAGTTCAGATTCTTTAGCAAGTCATATTGTGACTCTTATCTCCTTTTTGGTCTTGGGTTCTTCTCATATGCCTTGTGATCTAGCCACACCAAGTCGCTTGCCATTTTCCAAACACATCATGTCTTTCATCCTTCTGAGACTTGCAGTGTTTTCCTCTGCCTGGAATGCCCTTTGTAGCCTGTCTGCTGAGAATTTCTAATCCTCAATTTCCTCATCTGTATAGCAGGGCGGTAACAGTACTCACTTCAAAGGACTGTCATGGTGACTAAGTAAAAAGGCGATTTGTTCCCCATGGTATCTAGCAGATAGAGGCACTCAGTAAATGTTAACATCATTGTCATCGTTATTATTTTGCTCTTTTTCAAGTCTGAACAAAAATATCTCCTTTGCTGAAAGTCTTACCTAAAAGTGTTGGGCATTCTTCCTCTCTGATTCTATATGCCTAATTACAGTACCACATTACACCAACTCCAAAATTGATAGAATTTTCGTATTTTAGAGCTTCTGATATTGGGGTACATCTTAAGAATCTACATGCTGTGGCTTATGGCAGCAATTTATCTTTCTTAGTAGTACATGGAATAATGGTATTTCTCACAATAAATAGCATATTAGATGAAATACTATACTTAAACTGTATGACAATTGTCATAGAAGTTGGATTATCCATGGTGAATAGTGCATATTTGTGGCAAATGGAAAATCTACATTTTCTATGAATCAGTGAAATATCTACGTAATAAAGGAACTACTATTTGGAACTCCAAACAGCAGCGAGGAGATATTCCATTTGTATATACTGCAATTTGGCAAAACCCCAGCCCCTACATCATAGCATATTGCTGTGAACGATAATGTATTTCTTAACCACAGGCCCTAAACCATACATTTCAGAACCGCAGAGGTAATAGCCTGATCAAGTAGCATGCTGTTACCTCCTTTGGTTAAGTAGCCCCACTTGAGAGCCAAACAAGGGCCAGGCCCAGAGTGGACAGGGGGCTAGCTTGTCAAATTCTACATTCCAATAACTTAGGATTCAAGCTGAGAAGGTAGAGCGAAAGTGAGAAGAGAGTGTAGGAATGAGTTGAGGAAAGCCTATGGAACATGCCTCCAGACTAGCACCTTCCGAGAGAAATATAATGTGAACCACAAATATAATTTAGATTTTCTAGTAGCCACACTCAAAAAGCAGAAGAAATATAATTTAGCTAATATATTTTGTCAGGTTATTAACATACTTATTAACTTACCTATAAATGAATAATCATGCTTTATTTATTTAACATATCTAAAATGTTATCAGTTTGCCATGCAATCAGTATAAAAAAATCAGCAATAAAATATTTTACATGTTTTTTCTGCCGAGTCTTTAAAACCCCATGTGTGTTTTACCCTTATAAGACATCTCAGTTTGGATTAGCCACATTTCAGCTGCTCAAAAGCCACATGTGGCTAATGTCTGCCACATCGAACAGCACAAGTCTAGACTGTTTTTTTGACAAAATGAGTTAAGTAATGAAACAATCATAACAAGCTATTTCAACAGTAGACTTTTCTACCATACAATATTGGGAATGTTTAAGATTCCTATAACAGTATATATATTTTTATATTCTTAAATTTTTAAATAGAATGGTAATGTTTCCTTCACATTCAATTTATGTCTTGTTTTGGGTGGTTTTGTTTTAAGCATGATTTGATGTTATTCCTAATGTCACTTTTACCTCATCTGTTGGTTAAAGAGGAGATGACTGGCTGGGCTCGGTGGCTCACGCCTGTTATCCCAGCACTTTGGGAGGCTGAGGCAGGTGGACTGTCTGAGGTCAGGAGTTCAAGACCAGCCTGGCCAACATAGTGAAACTCCATCTCTACTAAAAATACAAAAATTAGTCGGGCGTTCTGGTGGGCACCCTGTAATCCCAGCTACTTGGGAGGCTGAGGCAGGAGAATCGCTTGAACCCTGGAGGAGGAGGCTGCAGTGAGCCGAGATCAGACCATTGCACTCCAGCCTGGTCAATAAGAGCAAAACTCCATCTCAAAAAAAAAAAAAAAGGAGCTGATTGTATTCAACTATAGATCTTTTCCCACTAACATACTCCGGGACAGGGTGTAGGGGTATACAATTAATCTTAGTACTCTCGGTCTCTATCATAGAGCCTAACATATAGCAGGCTCAGAATAAATCTTTGAATACACATTAAAAAGTGAAGTAAGTTGGACAGTATTGGCTGTCAATCTGGGTTCCACATTGGAATTACCTGGAGAGTTAAAAAAAAAAAAAAGGAAAATCTGATGCCTGGTCCCACCCTGAGAGACGCTGATGATGGGTCTAGAGTTGGGCCTGGTTATCAAGATTGTCAAAAATCTCCCAAGTGATTCTAATACGCAAGAGAGTTGAGAACCACTGTTCTAGGACTTTCTTAGAACAGCTTACTATGGCCATACCCATACTTCCCTGACATAAGATCCAGTTTCCCTCATATAAATTCCCTTTCTCTGAATAGACCAGAGTTGTCTTGGGAGCCCTAGTAGAGAAGAGGTTAACACATTATCCCAAAAGGGGATTTGCAAATTCCTTTTCCAAGGTACCAAAGAAGATTCTCAAGGTTTTAAATCTAATCATATTTATGTCTTTTCAACAAAAAAAATAAAATTCACGATATAAGCTAGCTGCTTTGCAGAGGCAGGATTCTAAGGGCGTCACAGCATGCAGGCAGATAGTATCCTGACATACATATGGCAAAATTTTCTAGAAATAGAATAGCAATTACAAATAAAGATGGAATCCAAGTACACATGAGCCTCATTTCAAGTTAATTCTACATATGTAAAAAGCAGACACTATTAACTGGGGTCAGCAAAGGGAAGTATTTTATGCTTTTCTTCAGGCTACTTAGGTTATATTTACACAGTATAATTACATAGCAATGCATTTTTTGATAAGTCACTTATAAAACCCATCTCCTACAGTCACACAGCACACAAGTATTGGTATCTTTGCTCTCAAGATGGTTCTTTGCCTGACAGCATTTCTTCCATCATATATGAGGTTCTGTAATGGCTGAGAGAGAAATCTGACTTCTTCTACTTCAATACAGACAACCTTTCATCATGGACAAGGGAGCAATGGTCTCTGCACCAAGGGAGCAGCAGCTGGAATGGAGTTCCTCTGACTCATAGACTGAGAATTTCCCTGCCGATTCTCAAGCTGGTTTGGCCACACTTTATGCATTCACCCTGCTTAACAGTCTTTTGTTGATGGTGTGGTAACATGTGGCCTTACTCAGTAATAGAAAGAGCATGTGGAGATATCCTCAAGGCTCCTATGTGTGTTTCCTCTAGCTTTCCAGCAAGGAAATAAGCTGTCTTCAACAAGCCCACACTTATTTTTGTTTTACATCTTAAGTTAAATTTGAGAAATTAGAACAGGAATTATCTAAAAGACGTGCTACTTCCATGTTCACTAACCCTGATCAACAGAAGTTCCCTACGCATGCCAAAACTGTAAAGGAAGGAAATCTGTTAAGATTTCAAAGAAGGTGTGGAGTCTCATGCATATCACTTCTACTGATCAACCCCAGAGGGCTGATAGGTAGCAAGTGATTGATGGGTGACATTCATTTGGCCCTAATTTTCCTATCTGAAAAGGAATGGAAAATATAACACAAGTTTCCAAGTTGCTACACTCATAAAACCAGGAGGGTGATCACCATCTACCTGTCCAGCTTGACCACAAATATTAACGCATAACTGCACCTGCCTTACATGTATGTCGTTTGTTGGTGAACGTGGGCTGAGGAATTCCTTGAGCTCCATGAAAAGACAAAAAAAGTTTGTCCTCAAGAGAATTTACAAAAGCCAGAGTAACATTCAAGAATTTAAAATATTAAAATGGATTTGAAAGATGACATAAAAGCTATAGGACAACTTTACTGTGAGTATGTAACCACCATGGAGAGATGGGCTAATGAAATCACCAGAGCTGCCTGTGGTCAGCCAGGATGCAAGGGGCCATGGGCCTCAGAGAAAAGATTCATGAAATGAAGGATGTTTCAGGGCCGCGTGTATATGCTGCTGACAAAGCTTCCTACCTTTTTGGAAGAACTCCTCTAGTTTGTCCTTGAAAGGCTGGAGATACTCCTTTGGGGACTCCTTGCACACCACCACCATCTGTTTCTCACTTGCTGCGAAGAGAAATTTAGAATTAGACTTAGGAACACGTATTTGCGGAGCTCCTGCTATGGACCAGGCACTGTGCTATGCACTTGAGTATCAATTGTGCACATTCCTTGTCAATTACCGCTTGTCCAAATTCCAGGGTTGGAGCGGGGGAGGGGAAGAAAAACCAGAAATGATAAGCAAACCAACAAAAATAATTAGTTCATTCTACACCACTCTTGAGGAACAGGGCAATGTATAATCCTTCCATTTTTCTTCTAGAGATCCAGAAAAGTCTCTGACTTGGGATAGGTAAAGTATTCTGCTTGTGTTCTCCCAAAGATGAAGAGAGGCAAAAACTACTCGAGGATTAGTCTCATGAAATTAAGGGCCCCAGCCTTCTTCAGATTCATACTCCAAAAGTAGAACGTGAAAAAGACATTGCAGAAATTCTCAGGCATCCAAGTTGTCTAGATACCAACCTAGTGATTGGCCAGGGTGACACACGCATCCCAACATGAGAACTAAGCCCAGGTTGGGGAGGACCCTGCCTGTTCTTCATGCTTCCCATTCACCTATCCTTCCTTTTAATCCTCTACTAACACATGGGAAATAATTTTATATAATTTGCTTCAGATAGACAATCTAAAATTTGTAGTAGAGTACTGTTTGATAATCAAGTCTGAGGTGACTTGACTTTTTAAAAATGATCTCTACCTTATTGGATAGTTATGATTTGGCTACATGGAAACTACAGTATTCATAGTTCACCATCACAAAAGACAGTTAACCCAGGCAAGAGGCATCTCCCGAAGGTTCCTATGTGTTTGTGCCAGTTACAGCATGCACTGGGAAAAGAAAGGTTTCATTTCTACAAAGCTAGAGCTGAGTCATGATCACTTTCATCTGTTGACTATGGCTGGAAATTAGGTATGTTCTTGTCCAAAAGCCTATTAATAAAGCACTGGATTTTCACCATAAAGATATCATGCCACCAGGTTCACAAAATAGAGAGACATATACTACAGATCTTGGAGGAATTTATAAACACACAGGTAAGGCATTTTGGAAGAAGGAGGTTGGGAAGGAAATCTTTATTTACATTGGGAAATTCCCATCCAATAATTTGGCATATTTAAAACTAGCATCTCAGAACATATACTGCAGACAAAGCAATAAACATGTCAGTTCAGAAATACAGAAAATGCAAAAGACACCACTTAAATGTTCGATGAAATTAGTTATCTGACACTTTCCATGTGCAATATTGCCAACTAGATTGCAGAAATCCTAGACAACTCTGGGGCCTATAAAATGGTGCTGAAAATGAAAGCACAATTTGAGGGGACCTTTTGTCATTTTCTGAGTCAAGGTCAGAATCACCTACATTCTCAGAGGTATCTAGGGATTTCTCATGACACAGGGATGCTAGATCACAGGACAGGGTACCTAAATTCAGGCTCTATCTATTGACATTGTTTCTTTGTAAGAGTTTTTATAGAGCTATCTAGAATATCTGCTATTAGTTATTCCGACAACCATTCCAAGGCTATCTAGGAAATCCCGTCCATTGGGATGCAAAGACTAATTTTTAAAATGACTTATTGAAAAAATACAAATCTTACCTTGAAACAACTAGAACAAATTCTGTAAATCCAGTCAAATAATCATGTAAAACATTCATTTTTCCCACGTTTTTTCCTTTCTTTGTAAGCTTTTTTGTCCTCTCTGCAATAGCTACTTTATAACTTCTCTGCTATTATGAGATTACCCTTCACCTCTTTTGAAGTAGATGGATCTGTGGCCAAACTATAAGTATGTCCTTCCCACTACCATTCTTTTCTCAAAATAGGACACTTTGTGTTAGAGTGGTATCCAAGGAGCGAGAGAGTGGACAGAGCTGAGAATACATTTTGCAGGTGTAACAAACAGGTCTTGCTGATTCAGTCAAGGAAGGGTTGAAGCAGATGGAAGGCTAAAGGGGTGAACAATGGGTTGCTGGAAGTGCCATTTCTGAGATAGAGAATAGTGGGGAAGTATCTTGTTGGATTATGTTTTTTTAAGAGATAGAGGGGATCAAGAGTTAAATTTGAAGCTTGTTAAGTTTTCTCTAGTCTCTATAAATTATAAGGCAATCTTGTCCCCTGAAAACAAAGGGGGAAAGGTACAAAAGAAGATAAAACTATTAATGGGTTCTCATTGCGAATTCTATTAAATTCAAACTTCGGAGCCTTGGATTTAAGGCCTTTTCTATTATGACATATTTCAGCTCTATTTCCCACATGTATTTGACTAACCAAACCAAAGCTGTTCAATGTGTTCCAATTATATTATTCGGCATTCCCAGTTCCATGTCTTCATTCATGTGGTTCTCTGCTCTGCTCTCATGCCATACATACTTTCAATGATATCTGACAAAGTCCTGTTCATCCTGAAAAGCTTCTCTGAGATGTCAACATTGCCATAAAGCATTTTTCAATCCAATGTTTTTGCATCTTTCAAACATCTCTATTACCTTCTGCATAGTGTTTGTTTTACCTTTAATTATATGTATTTATGTAAAAGTCTATAAATTAATCCCTGAGAAGTCATCGTGCAGGATTCATTTACTTCTTCCCAAACTTCTCTAGAGAGCTCCATGTATCTGGCCACAGCATCAGATCTCCTTATCTTGGCTGAATGTCGTGGTTCGCACCTGTAATCCCAGTGCTTTGGGAGGCCTAGGTGGGAGGATCACTTGAGGCCAGGAGTTCAAGACCAGTCTGGCAACACAGTGAGGCCTTGTCTTTCAAAAAAATTTTTTCAGTTAGCCAGGCATGATGAGGCATGCCTGTAGACTCAGCTACACGGAAGGCTGATGTGGGAGGGTTGTTTCAGCCCAGGAGACAGAGGCTGCAGTGTCATACCACTGTACTCTGGCTGGGCAATAGACCGAGACAGACAGACAAGAAAGGAAAGAAAGAATGAAAGGAAGGAAGGAAAGAAAAGAAAAGGATAGTAAAGGAAAGGAAAGGAAATGAAAGGAAAGGGAAGGGAAGGGAAGGAGGAAGAAAGGAAAGAAGGGAGAGAGAGAGAGAAAGAGAGAGACGAAAGAGAGAAAGAAAAAGAGGAACGAAGGAAGGAAAAGGGAAAAAAGGAAAGGAAGGGAGGAAGGAAGGAAGGAAGGAAGGGAGAGAGAGAAAGAGAGGAAGGAAGGAAGAAAAAGGAAAGGAAGAAAAGAAACAAGGAAAGGGAAGAAAGGGAGAAAGGGAAAAGCAGATGAAGGAAAAGGTTTCTTCATCTTAACTAGATTCTCATGTGTAGGAAAGTTTAAATAAAATTAGCAATGTTGGCCTGGCACAGTGGCTCACTCCTCTAATACCAGCACTTTGGGAAGCCAAGGCAGATGGATCGCTTGAGCCCAAGAATTTGAGACAAGCTTGGCCAAAGTGGTGAAACCTTGTTTATACAAAAAATACAAAAATTGGCTGGGCATGGGGGTGTGCACCTGTGGTCCCAGGTATTCAGGAGGCAGAGGTGGGAGGATCCCCTCAACCCAGGGAGGTCGACACTGCAATAAGCCATGACCCCACCGCTGTCCTCCAGCCTAGTCTCACAGGGTGAGACCCCGTCTAAAAAATACACATACATACATATTAGCAATGTTGACCCAGACTCCAAGTGGGCTTTCCAGAGATGCAGTGTGAACTGCTTGTCTCGTCTCTTCCTTCCCCTGCTTTCCGGAGGGCGGTGCACCAAGGGGTCACCGTCTCTGTACTCCTCAAACACGGTGAGGTGTCCCAAGATGATCTCAAAGGGTTGAGAGTATTTTAAAGACCCCCAGAAACGTCCACCACCTCACCCCATGAGTCATAAGCAAGGTAACAGAGATGATTATCCCGACTGGGTAGTTCCGAAGGCAGGCGGGGAAGGTAACAGAGATGATTATCCCGACTGGGTAGTTCCGAAGGCAGGCGGGGAAGGTAACAGAGATGATTATCCCGACTGGGTAGTTCCGAAGGCAGGCGGGGAAGGTAACAGAGATGATTATCCCGACTGGGTAGTTCCGAAGGCAGGCGGGGAAACAGGAAAGACATCTGCTTTAAGGAATCGGCATTTCTTAATGAACATCTGTGGCCACATAAAGTTTCCTATTTCCAGTTATGATTCTGAGAATACAGTTAAAGAAAGGCTAGAATTTCCCACAATATAAATTGGGAAGAGTTCCTTAAATTATTTAATTTGGCTGGGCGCGGTGGCTCACGTCTGTAATCCCAACACTTTGGGAGGCCGAGGCGGGTGGATCACGAGGTCAGGAGATCGAGACCATCCTGGGTAACACGGTGAAACCCCGTCTCTACTAAAAATACAAAAAAAAAAATTAGCCGGGTGTGGTGGCGGTCGCCTGTAGTCCCAGCTACTTGGGAGGCTGAGGCAGGAGAATGGCGTGAACCTGGGAAACAGAGCTTGCAGTGAGCCGAGATCACGCCACTGCACTCCAGCCTGGGCAACAGAGCGAGACTCCGTCTCAAAAAAAAAAAAAAAAAATTAATTAACCCTCTACAATATTCAAACTCCAACAATTTCATTTATATAGAATTGTTTTCCATAAACATAGGATAAAACATGCCTGCAATTTACTAACAGGACATAATCGAAGGCCTGACAGTAATTCCTTCAAGGTTACTCCTCCCTGGCTCCTCCCTGGTGAAAGCAGAGCTGCAGGCAGAGCTTGTTTCCCCAATTACAAAAGCAATACTTTCGCTTTTGCCTGAATTCACAGGGTTGATCACTGCAGCTCTCCCTTCGTGCTAGATGTGGTGACAGAGCCCATGTGGTGCCCATCAAATTGCTTAAATTTTATGAGGCCATATCATGGGGGTGGTAAAGAGCTTGTGCTTGGATCGAAACCTATGAGGGCTCAGGTAGGCCGTGGCTTGTTTTTCTCATCTGCGAAATGGGGACCCCCCGCAACATAGGCATGATATGGTCATTAACATAATACATACACAGTGATTTGCAGAATGCCTGGCACAGGCAAGCAGGC